GAAAGGAAACAGTGGAAGCTGAGTGATAGGAGACTTATAGCCTAGCACCAGTTGAACACATTGACCTACAAGATCTTCCTGCCTTGCAAAGCTGAGGCTTGACTTCTTGCATTCAGACGCCTTCTTGCTTCTTCAAAGCTCTAGCAGAGTTGAGTCAGCTACTCCAGTGCGATTGCCTGAGCTTTGGTATCAGTGCAGAGGTGAAGTGACATATGAAGCCTTATTCCCTCACTGCCCAGTGCTAGATTCTCCCAGGTCTGGCAGCACCCGGTTGGGCAGCAGCCTGCCACTGTTTGACTGGATCAGTCCAGGCAAAGAGAACATAGTTTTTGGTAGCTCCTCGTCAGACTTCATAGAAAGGAAACAATTCAGCTGACAACTGCCTGATTGCAGGCTCAACACCATCCACTCGCGGGGCTTTGAAGCAAGTGAGCGAGAAGCTCAGCAGTTCGTTCAGAATGTCAGGCGCATGGTGAGACGCAGCCAAAGTTAGCTGATCCTTGACCAGACTCTTTCTTCAGAAACGTTGTCTCAGCGATTCAGATGAGATCATTATATAACGAAAGCCCGCCGATAGGCTAGGCTTGAGCTTTTAGAGCGAACGAAGTGAGTTAAGGGACAAACGCAAACACAGGATCTGACTGGTTTTCTGACTTTTTGCTCCTTCAAGTCGAAAAAAGTGATTCTTCTGCACAGTTTGGGACATTTTGAGAGGGTGAACCCAGAGCTTGGTGGGGGAGAGCGCTCCAAAGCGAGGGTCAGAAAAGCAGTGAAAATGGGGTCTGGTGATGCGAGTGATGCAATGGACGCCGAGTAGTGCATCATTAGCATCATGAAGGGCATTGAGCAATCGAGTGGAGACAGGGGCCCACGTACAGAGCAGACCGCAGCCGCATGTAGGATATGAGTTCCCAGGACAACCCGTAACTCGCGAAATCCATAGAGAACCGAAAGTGACATGAGTTCAAGTCCATGAATTTGGATTGAGTTTCAGTGGGGATGCCTGCGAAGTTGACTACATATCCGCATAGGGTTCCTGCCCCCTAGCAAAATCTATACTTGCGCCATGTCCTCGGTCGAGCAGATGCTTCTTGCGGCGTCCACATGCACCGAACGTTTTTCCGGCTTGCCGGTGCAGATAGATAGATAGATAGAAATAGAGATAGGGATAGAGATAGAGATAGAGATAGAGAGATAGAGAGATAGAGAGAGAGAGATAGATAGATAGATAGATAGATAAATTCTATATATTATATACTAATGACTCATGACGTCGCCTTTTTGCTGGCAGCCCTGGCCGAATCCAGTCAGCCTGGGTCCACGGCCCAAAGATCTACGCACGCAGGCGCCAAAGTCAAGGCCTCTGAGTGAGAAAGGCGCAGAGTTGATAAGAAAGAGAAGAACAAAGAATGTGTTTGGATCGTTTAATAAAGGCCCCTTTAAAGGAAAAAGACTGTGTTTTGGATCGAGCCAGAACATAACTCACTCAAGTCCATCGATATGCGCACAAATCCTCACTCCTTTGCTAGCCCAAGCTACTCCCGCTGGACCTCCCCTTCTGCGCTGCGGGATGAAACGATCAACGAATGCCGCTTTTCGACGCGCCGCAGTATGCATTGCAAACTTCAAACACTCCAAATGTAACAAAAGCATAATTGCTTCTTTTCGAACGCATGCCGTACTCGCGCGCTCGCGCGGCGACGCTGACTATGGAGAAGGTCTTCCTGCGCGCGTGGTATCCCACCACTCGAACTCAGACGGTATTCCCCTTCGCTAACGCTGATGTCGCCTTCCAACTTCCACATGATGCATACCTTCCTGCGTGTGACAAACACATGCCATTGCCTTGTGATGATGACCTACACCAACATACAACGTATCGCATTTCTCTTTCACTACTTCTTTCATACCAAACTTATCCCAAAGCCGCCCGGCTTGCTTCTCTGCTCCCTCCATCACCATTACCCCCCGCATCCGCGGCACCGCTGACTCGCAAGCTGCCGACCATGTGTCTTGTGCCGCGACGCTGCCAGAAAAAGAGACACTCGCTTGGCGGCTGCTGGCTTTCGTCCCCCCCCTTCGCAGGTAGTGTTACATTATATATATAGCACTTCAGTAGAGCACGAACATAGTGGTACTGTAACGAAGGTTTAGCAACATGCACGGGTTTCTGAAGCCCTTGGCTGAAGGAGTCACATGTCACCCGGCCGGGCCAAAGATGCGGGGCGCGTGGATAGAGAAGAGCTGGACCTCTTTCGAGGCTTCCTTTACTGATGCTGCAAGTCTGGAAGATGGAGGTCAGCCTGGAGGAAGTGCAAGCACAAAAGAGGGTTTACCTGGGAAAATATAAATTTCTTTTGACTTGATGTATTCCCAAGAAGAAGGAAGAAAGGTAGTGCCCATCTATGCCGAAAAGGGATGAAGCGTGTGAAGCCGTCAGCGAAGCCGAGCTGAGAGTGTTTGCGGGGCTAGGATTCCAGCTCATGGCGTTCAGGAAATAGATATGACCTTATCACCGCAGTTTGCGCGAATGGCAAGCTGGAACCGCAAAGCACTTTGAAGCGCCACAGGCCCTGAACGTCAAAAAGAGCCTGCCACTATTCATAAAAATATCCGGGGCGGCTTTACTGCCCTTCTCAACGTAGCGTTGCCCTATGTGGCTTGGACTGTGCAATGACGCATCGAAGCAATAGACGCTGTCGCAATTTCCATTTGACAATTTCGTGGAGCCCCAATTGCAAGCTGTTCAGCCGGACAGGGGGCTGGGTCCGAGCAGCCGAGTGCATTAAGGGCTGCTCGCTCTTCGTGATCGTGGGCATGTGATGAGGCTCAGCAGTGCAAAGCCTATGCACAAGCTTTGCACGAGGAACTTCGGCAGGACGGCGCGAACCTTTGAAATCTCAAAATACATTGACATATTTGATATTATGCCGTGGTAATATCGGAATATTACTTGTTGTATATATATATACATAATATATATATATATGGGATGCTATTCAGGTGAATATAGAAGTCCGGCACGAGAATATGGTTCTCGTAGGTTCACAAGGATGTGAATATCTTCTTATATATACTGTGAATATCTTCACAAGGATGAGAATATCCTCTCTGTATGTGAAGAGTCTTCACAACCATGTGAAGAGGTGTGAACACCTGAGAACCTGCCGTACTTGTAATGTGAAGATCTTCTAGGAACAATTTCAAACTAATTCAGCAATTGCGTAACAAGATGAAGTAGCACTGGTTCAATTCCAGAGAATGACCAATGAAATTCTTCCCACGTGAGGCCCTGTAATCACTTGTCAACCGCTTATCGGTGGTTGTATATTTAGAAGGCTGCACGGGGACAAACATGAACCACTTCTGGTGGTTGAACTCAAAGCTTGTATCTCCATCAATGTCAAGGAGCGCAGAGCCTACCAAGTGAACAACACCGAAGGCGATGCTTTGTGGAAACCGAAACCCAGACGTGTAGTCACCGGCGCCGCCGCGCTTGGTCCGCAAGCTGACTTGTGGAGTTTAACCAACCCATTGCAGGCCAGAATAGATTGAACGTGAGGACCTAGAGGTTCTTTCTCCTGCCTAGAACGCCTTTTGAGGGCTGAGCTCGTGAGCCCGAAGTAATGGACATGATGATTGGTACTTGGGTTGGACAACTGCACCGCTTGTAATGAACAAATAACAGTCAATTTTCCAGGTTCGAGTGGAGCAGTGCAGGAGTGGTATACGACTCCCAGTCTTGTCACATGTGATCTGCTCAAAGGAAAACGTGCTTCAAACTTGAGTAGAATGTGAAAGTAGTGGTAGTGTAACGAAGGCTCGGCAACATGCGCGGGTTTCTGCAGCTCTTGGCTGCCCAAGGCCTCGATGTGGAAGGCTTTGGTCAGATTGGGAGCTACCTTCCAGTGGTCGGCCCGGTGCTTGGCCGATTCTCAGATTTGCATTGCCCAGTTGCCGAGACATTGACGTCGCTCAGGCTGCATTCAGCTTAGCTCGTCTTTCCTTCTGCGGTCCTCTTCAAGGCACCTGTGAACGTGGACCGAAACCTTGGCTGAAAGTGAGCGATGCACTTTCACCAGGCTGGACTTGTTTGCGTTTGTGGTGGACAGTGTACACTTTGGTTCTGCACCGCTCGCACAGAGCTTCGCTTATTTGGGTGGACGCCTAAGTCAAAGGAAAGCAGCGTGGCTCGCAGTTGTAGGCAAACCTCCTTTGCTAGTCACATTGATTGGAGGTTCTGCACTGGTGACTTTTCAACATGCTCACTCTGACCTACCGCCTCCTCTTCAAAGGACCTACCCTGTGCAGTCAGTGTGCCTCAAGCTGTTGTAAAGGGTGCACTTTCAATCTTACTCATTTTCATCTACTTCCAAGGCTGTGTGCCTCATGACAACTTTTGGGTCAAGTTTTCAGCCTGCTCGGCAGTTCTTGGCTTGTTGAAGATTCTTGCAGGATAGTCTTCTGTAGCAGTGGCAGTTCTCCTATGTTTTCCTTCCCCAGATCTGAAAACTATAGAGTTCTTACATGTTCTTGCTTCTCTTAGAAACAGTCTTTGATCGCAACTTTTCCTTTTGGGACTTGGAACCGGAACCCTGTGACTCTGGAGCCAGGCACTCACCTCAACTTTATATTTGCACACTGCACACTGGAGACATCCCTTGATCC